AATTTGATGTTTTATATATATATATATATATATATATATATAAAAAAAAGCACAAGACAAATCCCTCTTCGAGACAAATTCCTTTTTTGTTTGGACAAATCTTGAAGTGACAAAAATGTGATGCAAAAATATTATGGGATACACAATGAAAAACAGTAGTGATAGTGACGAATTTATTTTATAAAAACATGTAAACTATATGTGAATATAGAGTTAAACTTAGACTTATTTATAGATATTTCGCTTGGAAAACACATTCTTCTGTGACGCACATAAGTAGTGCAGACGTTGATGATAGAGATCGTGATTGCAGTGGTGGTAATGATGACTTGGCTCGGTAGCTACTGTCAATTTTTTCTTCTTAACGCTCGTTACATAGTTCGTAGAAAGAATTAAATATGTACACAATGTGTAATCGTATTCGTTTCTCATTCTCGTTCCCTTCGTTGCCTTTCGCGTTCGCGTGCCAATTCTGTAGCATAATCATACGGCGAGCCTCTCCTAAAATCAAAATTATTTTTTTTTAACATACATGAAAAATTGTAAATGCAAGCAATTTAAGATAAATTATATGTTCTATACATAAAACACCATTTGACACAAATAAAATTCTATAAAATTCTTATAAAATTCTACAATGCAAATATAAAATTATACATATATAATGACTATACGACATCTGTTCATTAAAAAAAAATCTCTATTCTTGCTTCTGTCCTTACCTATCCCGATGTCGGTCTCTGTCGCGATGGCGATCCCTGCTTCGATCTCTATATGATCTGTCTTTGCTATGACTTCTATAATCCTTCTGTCTTCTATTTCTGTCACGACTGTTCGATCTTCTGTTATACCTGTCTCTTTCACGATCCCGTTCGCGAGCTCTTTCTCTATCACGCTCCCGCAACCTCTCGCGATCGCGATCACGCTCTCTATTTTTGTCCTTACGATCCTCATCAGTTCTGTAAAGAGACACATACGAACGGAAGTATGACATTGGTTGTCCCGATTGGTTGATTGTAAAATTCGATCTAAGCTCGATCGAAAAAAGTTATTAATATTTATCTCGTTGTTACATCAACAACTATGTACATTAAAGAGAATAATTTTTTAGGTAAGTCTATCGTCGTGTCTTTCAAGACAAAACACGAAAATATCAACTTTTTATCAGATTTAGTTTCTACGTCTCGAAGTACATAAACAACAAATGTTTAAATTTCAAAAATTATCTTTGAAATGTGTGTGATCTCTACATATGTTTTATTCAAGTATTAATAACGTGATCGTTGTATTCATACCACGTGGACGCACCTGGCACGCCACTGGCTCATACGCTCGGCTTCACCCCACTGAGTCTCGTTATCGGGGATATGACGGGGTTGCTGATTGCGCGATGTCAAATTACCGTTGTCCTTACGACCATCCTTGTTGCCATACTTGCCATGGCTATTGAGAGTGATTGGCGGCTTAGCGTTTCGTGCATTCACCTGCTGTTGCGGAAAACGCTCGGCTAATCGCAACTCCAAATCTTTTTGGATTGGTACTGGTATCCGTGGAAACAATGTAGAGAACCATTCGAGTTTGGTAAGGAATTGTTTGAGAATGTCGCCCATTTTCATCACTTGCCCGCCACCCGCCTTCACATCTAGTTCCTCTTCATCCTCCAGATAATCGTTGTACCAGCTGAACAAGTCTGCTGGTGGCTGTGTATATCTAATTGTAACCGTACTGTATATATAATCATAATCGTAACCAATTTATAGCTTGACTTGAACTGTTAGACGTCTAGCCTACAGGGTCTGGAAGGACCTATTCAAGTGTCTACTCGCAGCAACCTTGATTAGTATACTCATGTTAAACCAAGCAAATTTACCGCTTCAACTGTCATGCGTGTATATATACATGTGTGTAGATATGCGTGCGTGCATACATACATACACACACACACACACACACACACACACACAATTAATCACAGATAATCACAAATTAAAAAATTAATTGATTGATATTATTTACAATTGATATTTTATTCTTAAGTTTTCAATTATACGTTATATAATAACGTATTATGACAAAACTGAAATATAAAATACAATGAACGAGCAAGTACAAATATAATTAATTTTCAAAATAAATGCACTTTTAATAAGTTTTTAATCTGAATATACTTTTTTTATTAAAAAAATTATATATATAAGATGAAATTATTGTATACATTTAATATATCTAATTACATACATTGACACCATAAAATGTATTAGATAAAACTCACCTAATGTACATAAATCCTAGAGCACGTATGTAGGGTGAGTCCGGATGATTAATAAGCCCATTCAACTGCTTTCTAGTTAGCCTCAGCGTGAAGAGTTTGTATAATAGACAATATGCCGTGGAAACAATTCCGCCAGCTCCCACGCCTCGTACCTGCATGAACCGCTAAATTTACACCCCCCTCAGTCAGTTAAGTCACATTCGTGTTACCGTACAATATATGAACCGAATACATGCTACTCTGTAATTAAGTGGTGCGGTTAACACTTTGCTTCTGGCAATAGTACCAAGGCGTTTAATTGTTCGAGCATTGGCAATACTACCATCGTACATGTAACAAACTTTGCGACTTTTTATGAAAACGTTTACTGCATTCATCGAAACTTTTCGTTGTCAAAAAGCTCAATTTACAGCTCATTTTAACAGAATTAAATGATTCTGTTTTACTATACTGTGCTTTTGTTCCATCTTGTAACAAACATTGAGAACTCCATCTCTATTGCATATCATTACTTCACATAATTTTATCTGATAATTGTTTTAATTATCAATGATTATTAATAATTTGTTTCTTAAACAGATCAAGTGTAGCTAAACATTTAAATAATTTAACAATTGTATTGAACGAAAGAGAGAGCGCGCACGAAAAGAGATGGATTCCAACTGTGCTTAAATTTCAAAAACTATCCTAGAATAACTGATGTTGCATTATAATGATATATAACATGTTTCATAAGCCTTAGATTTTCAACAAATGCATTAATAATTAAATAATAAAGATAAAGATAAAAAGGAAAAATCCGATGTTGTTGAGAAAACATACTCACGCCTCCACACATGCCAGTTTGGCCCGCAGTCTTTCTGCTGCCTTTTTCCCATGGTTCTAAGTGAGAGACCTTATAATAGATCTCATCAATCACCTCATGATAGGTCTTGAGTTCATACAGATTCACCTTAAAATAATGCGACGACTGTATGTTGGTAAGAATCAAAGGATTTAAATTCATAGTCCTCTCGTTGCCCCATAGTGGTAACACATTTGACTTTTTACCCTCCTTCGGAGCCAGCCTACGCTCCTCATCGCAGCCACTGGAGTTATTCCATGGAGATCCTGAGAGAAGAAAGACTCAGCATATTTCAGTGCAATACAATTATCAATATTCATATTGATAGAATATTAAAATGTTGTGTATACACGCAGAAAATCAATAACTACAAATGCCAAAAGATTGTGAGAAAGATGGTTCTACAAGACAGAAAATTTTAGAAAATTAATAACGATATTTAATGCATTTCTCATTTCGTTCTATGCGTATCTTTCCGAGCAGATCAAGAGTTTGCAAATGAAAGTAAGTAAATCAAACATTACGTCTGTTGGCATTGCTTGCACTTTTTGCACTCTCTTAACAACCTCTCTTTTTCCAACACCCGAATATATTTATTTTGTTCGAAGTGTAAAAAATTTTGGGGATTTCGAGTAACGTGAAATCTCAAGAAATCTATTATCGATAAATAATTAAGGGTTGGGATTAATCTCGGAATAATATAGTAAAGAACACGAGAATCAATCAGATAAACGAGTCAAGGTTATGTCCGTTATTATCCGAGGAATAAGAAAACAGCCATCTTATGAATGACAGAAAACTTGAGAAATTATAACAAAGTATCTTTTCTAGTTCAGAAAGCGTATTTACTCACCATCCGCGCCTTCAGTTTCCTGCATTTGCATCTTTGAACAATTTATCGAGCAGACTCGCGTGGAGTCTCCACATCGGTCGCGTCAAGGACAAACAAACGAATCCGCTCACGGTTCAGCTGCAAATTAATTCGAATCGAATGAACTCATGCGAGAAATTTTCAATGCAATAAATTCTCAGAATATTGCAGAAACCAACGCTGTAACTCTCATCAGTCTTATCTACAAAGCGCGATGGAACGTGCCAAAAAAAAACGAGAGAAACTGTAGTAGCACCCTATTACGTATGATGGACAAACATACACATCCGGTTTTGTATTGCGCACGCGCAATATCATGATGAAAGTGGAAATCAAAGAAAAATCTGAGAAAGGACATGAAGGCTTTTTTCTTCCTCCACACACATTACCGCCCTCTAAAGAAATGGATGTAAACTGCATAACAATAACCATTTTTATGATAAAAATGAATATTGCTCTGTAGTTTACATCCACTTTTTCAGAGGACGATAGGCATTTTGCGGTTATAGAAAAAAGGCCTCATGTCCTCTCTCAGATTTTTCCCTGATGGTTACTAAGTCCGGATCTACAATAAGTGTTTTAAGTTTTAAGCCGTAAGAAATTGATCAACTACAAGTCTACCAAGTCGAATGCGAGGAGAATAAGTGATTGTGATTCGTCCATTCCTTATGGCTTAAGGCTAAACGTTGTAAGCAAATATTGTAGATCTCTCCGGACAAAATATGGGTCATTTAAAAAGTATCCGCGGTACTTTGTCACTAGATATATGACCATCAACACACATCTAGTGACAAAAACCGTGGATACTTTTTAGATGACCCAATATAAATCTAAATATTGTATAAATCTCTCATTTTAAGTGTAAAAAGTGTAAATAAGTAGAACAGACCATTTTGACTGGTGCAGTACAATTATGGCTGTGTTCCAAAATTCATTGCTAGTGCTGAAAATGTATAATACACGTAACATAAACTATAGATTTTCAGCAGTGGCAGTGAATTTTGGAATACTGCCTATGACGTAATGAAATTTCTTAACCTTAAAAAATATCAGAAAATATCGAAATAGTTTTAACACAGTTACCTCTCTTCTACGCATCTTTAATTATCATTTTGGTATTTATATTCACGAGTACATGATATATAATACATACATTTTCTAATTTTCCAAATCAGAGTGAACAGGTCTATATATTTATCCTTACGCAGTTTCAATCTTGGTGTGTGACGGATAAAGCGCTGTTTTTGATCTAATGGGTAAGCCGAGAGATGTAAGTACGGAAGAGGAGATCAATTTAGGTAATTGTATATATTCAATATATTTATATCAATTTTGTATGCATATGTAACAATATATGTTATACAATAATGTATAACATAATAATTTACGTTAAGATTCATAATGTTAATTGAATTTTTTGTTAGATACAAATGATGTCTCGCCGCAGAAAAGACATAAAAAACATAAACATAAAAAGCACAAGAAAAAAAAACTCATTCACGATGACAGCGATGCCTTTGTAGAAATCTCAACCGATGCTGATCGAAAGAAAAGCTTTCGAATAAAAATGAAAAAAGAAGATGAACGGAGGTATGTACATTATACGGTGTTTATTTTCTTATACCTTTTTTTTTGTGCATTGTATTTCAGAAAGCCAAAGGAATTAATCATATAAAATTACATCTTTCAGCTAATTTCTATTTAAGAGTTTCATTTTCAAAATTAATTAAAATATGTATCATGTCAAGTTTGAATAAGTAATGGCCTTTATCAATATCTTTTGCTAAGAAAAAAATGATTTTCATTAATTTTCTTGTAGCAATACATCACATTTAATTTCAAGAATATTCCTGTAAATCATATATATGCATGATACATACATGTGCAATAATTTATAATATTTTCTAGTTTGGATAAACGTGAAAAAATATTAAAAACATGTGGTTTGAATACAGCTGCAATAAATACGCCTTCTCCAAAAGCAACTGCAAAAAAAAAAATTCCAAAAAGTAACAAAGGTAAAGATAGTGGAACTAGCAGCGAAGAAGAAAGATGGCTTGACGCTATTGAATCTGGTAAACTGGAAGAGGTATTTTTTCTTCTTTTCTGTTTATTGTAGTAAGGCAAAAACAATTGTATGACATTTAGTATTCCCACATCTTTATACTGATCATGCTCAATGATAACTCTAATAAGATAATGAGAGAGGGAGAGAGGGAGAGAGAGACTTGCGTTTTATTGCATTTTATTCTAGGTTGATGACGAATTGAAGAAAATTAAACCAAAAGATCCAAAGTTAATGACAGCACGACAAAGAGCAATGTTTGAAAGAAAGACTGATACAGAGCCAAATCCAGGTGTTGAACAACTCATGTCGTTACCTACTGGTTACAAAGAAAAAGTCATGACTGCCGAAGCTATACAGAAGGCTGCTCTAAAGTCTCAGAAACGGAAACAACTTGCTGATGAAAAGAGAGAAAAAGATAAGGTAGTGAATAACAAAAAGCTTTCTCTGATAACAACATTATATTTAATAATGGATAAATTGTATGAAATGAGAACCTTTTTGAATTATTTTTATAGAAAAAGACAATGGAAAGGTTGCTTAAAAAGCAAGAATCTAAAGCATCTAAAGTTATTAGTAAGGGAAGATTATCTAAACGACAAGTACCATTAGTGACATATCGCTTAACGATTGAAGGAAGTTCTATATCTTTACCTCCTGGTGAAAATTTTCCACTTTCTTCTGCCAAAGAGTATGAATTATTGTTATTATCATTTTCTATATTGACATTTAGAACGTAACATTTATTTATCTTTAATTCAATATTTTAGGAAAAGTCCACCAAAACAAATCCTTTGCGGGGTAAAGCAATGTAAAAATCCTAAAAGATATTCATGTTCGAAAACCGGAATACCATTGTGCAGTTTAAAGTGTTACAAAGCCAATCTCCTTTTAACTAGGTGAACTAGATGTACAAATAATACAAACTTTTTCCCATAAATTTTAGTATATATATATATATATATATATATATGCACACATATACACATATAGAGCATACCTTCCAACAAGTGACTCAGTACAATACAGTGATTATCCTTGTTTAACATTAGCGAACAACAAAAATTATGATGCACTGTCACATTGTGTCATATGTATCTCTTCTTGGAAGGCATCCATATATGAGAACACACATATCTGTATGCTGCTTATATAAAATAATATAAGTCATAAAAGTATTAATTAAATATAGCGTATATACATATTATACAAGTTTATATATGTGAATACATATAAACCTATTTATCTATTTATATTAACCATCAACTTTTTCATTTTCTGTGAAAAAAGAAACAGAAAAGAACATAATCTCTTTCCCCTCTTTCTATTACCAAAGTACTAACTGATATTTATTAAATGATATAAATGGAATAAAATTGTTTATACGAATGTATCTGTGAAAAGAGAAGTAAGAGGCAATCTTCCGAATTGTACTACTTTGTAGCGTAGCTTTCACCCACTTCCTCAAGTAGGAAGCCGTTCGCGAAGCGTTCACTCGTCGAGTCGGTCGTCAACTTAGATTCATGCAGGATCGCTCAAACTTATGTACGTGTACATACTCGGTCTCAACCCAGATATTCTGGGCCACCATGTCGTGCCTTCGTTATTGCATAGTTTTAACGCTTGTTTTTTTTTCAATTTCGACTTTATGTCTCGAAACATTTGGTGAGTATAATCCTTTGCTGTCAAAAAATATTTAAAATATTTATTCTCTGATTTTGTTCTCTAAAAGCACATTGTATCTCGTTTTGAAGAAAAACACAAAAAATTTCTTGGTTTATGTGTCATTGTTCCCTTATGCAAGATTGTGTGTTTAATGAAATTAACATGGTGATTATTAACGATGCATATCGATTATTTGTGATTAATGATATTTTTATAAAATTATTTAATATAAAAATGTGCAATATTTCGCTTATGAAGATTAAACACAATTTTTAATTTCTCATTAAAAGAAAAAATAGATAATTATCACGAATGTGTGCGTCCTTGCTCCGACAAATCATCTTCAAAAAAAACATGCGTCTATCGTTTCTTTATCATGGAATCGCACGTCACAACAAGGTGAGACAACATTATAAGTTTTTCTTTTTTTATAAAATAATATTAATTGATTTATAAATTAGCAGATATATTACTGTTGTAACGTACATGCGCGAGAAAAGGATTGTAAGCCTTGTAAAAAAAAACTTTAGAGACTTGATAAAATAATCTAATAACATCCCAAACAACAACAAAGTCTAAAATTGTGACATGACGTCTTTAAGTCATCTTTTAGATGCAATAAACGTTTTATGACCTGATTTTAGACACTTTGTTGTCTAAGACGTGATACGTTAATTAAAAATGCGTGCTATAAAAAAAAATGAGAAGAATAACGTGTGAGAGAGGGAGAGAGAGAAAAGGAGATATTCCCCAGTGATATTTTCTCTTCCGAAAACTGTAGGGTGCAAATGTAATGATTTGCGGTCACGGATTGGTATGCGATATTTTAACGGTTAATTCATGATTGTGGCGTATTCAGGTAACAAATACTATCCTGAATCGACCAACATTGCTGAACATTGTGCATAATCTGCTGCACATATACGTACACTATAGATACCTATACATACACATCATACACAAACTGTGACTCGGACTCGGCGGAAGTGTATAATGGCTGATAATACAGATGCTTGGCGTAAACTTTGTGTGACACGCTTGCACCGTTTCTCCGTGCTTCTTTTCCACGTTGTGAAACGTACATCTTATCGAGTAAAATCCTTCAATCTTAACAATTCGGGGCCCGTTTCTTTCGATTGTTTTTATTACATAGATAAAACGGTTATTAATCAAGAATAAGAGCCGCTATTTGCGAATTTGAAAATGGTGAGTTTCATTTATATCGAATGTATGGATCTGTTATTGATTTAATTTAGTAATTTACACATGTAATCGAGTTTTGTCAAGTAAGAATTATCTAGATTCACTGATATTGTATCGATGCTACTGATGTTTTACTTGTCGGAGAAAATGTGCGATTTTATTTTATATATAGTATTAATATATGAAAAAGCTGACATTTCACTTCCTTTACTTTCTCCTCACGTCTTTCAACACACATATAACTGTAATATCGTGAAAATATATTAATACAGATATTGCGAAAAAAAAAAATATATATATATATATATATATATATATAAAATACATATTGGAAACCTTTGACAAAATTCGCTCTCGACTTATTTATTCGCTGCATTTTCTAAATTTTAAACGCAACAAAAATAACAATTTAACTAAATTTAAATATATTACGAAACTTTTTACTCCTATTAATACTGACGTATCATCATTAAAATGTTATTATTATTAATAAAATTAGCAGTTTCTACAACAAATCCGAGAGCAGCGACGAAAATATTACCGTGCCATCAATAAAGAGCTTTTTGGCGATTAACGGGAAAAGTCCAGGACCGGCTATACAAGTGAGTATACTCACTAAAAAATATATTTATAGAAAATATTTTTTTTCTCTCAACGTTATAGCATTAAATAATATTACTCACGCTTTTATAAAGCAAAACGAATTTTGACAAATCTAATTATAAATTATACTTTTTAACGTATGTGAACATATCGCGCGAAGATAGATTTAATGGTTTAATCGATTTAACTCTCCGTGTTATTATAAGCCTGATTACGACTATATCCGAATTGATATAAATAGTCTATTTTCTGTTCCTGCACTAGAACTCTCTTCAAGTTCCAAAAGTATATTTTAGTCCAGTGTCCAGTCAGAGAAAATGGACCCTTAAAAATTAAACTTTTTTCGCGCGCTCGATTCTTTTCATGACGAGAGACGAGCGACAATTGTCGACATTGACAATTATATATAGCGATTAGAGACATTTATAACAGAATATATTTTTATGATAGATTTGTCTCGGCGATACGATAGAGGTTCTCGTTTATAACAAGTTGGGAAGTGACGAATTGGCTTTTCATTGGCATGGAATCCGGCAAAAGGATTCCAATTACATGGACGGGGTACCTATGATAACGCAGTGCTCTATCTTACCCTTCGGTGGCTTTCGTTACAAGATAATACCCGAAAGTACGGGGACGTACTTTTATCACGCTCATTCAGGTAGATATATGTTTATTACCGTAATTTCCTAATATTTTCCCTATCTTTTCAATCGCAGCTTTTAACGAACTTAAATGATTTTATTACGTTGCGATTCTTTTTTCGCGAATTTCCAGGTTTTTTTTTTCTTATTTCTGTTTAACCTCTATCTACTTCAACGTGCGAGCGTCGGCGTAAAGGAGAATTAAAAATTGGAAGAAAAATTGTGCGGATCGCGATTGTCCTGTCACGAGTTTACACGCTCGAGTCGACTCGTCCGGATTTTGGTGACTCCGGTGACTCCGGTGACTCCGGTCTACTCCGGTCTACGCCATAGAACGTAACACAATACATCTATCCTTGCGGCGCTCGCGCATCAAGAAAAGCAAGATCAATAACGAGTTCGCGGTATCCCGAAAGAGCAGGAATCGCCTCAATCGTCGCGTATCTCGCTGCTTCTTTCGCTGCGCGAATAAAAATTACGTCCTTCTTGAATTTATCGAAAAATTTGTTCAATTAGATATGATATACGCGCCGCGAAGCATCTTTCTAATTGGAGAAGAAAAATATCAATTGTGTGCGCCATTCGCGCTTCCGCGATTCAAAGGATCTCGACAGGACTCGATATTCTCGACTCGAAACGAAAGACGAAGCTGACGAAGGCGTGTCTCGGTGCCTGCCGAGCCTAACCGAGGCGAGGGCGAGGCACGAATCGCGTAAAACCGTAGCGTAGCAGTCGCGGTAATTCCAAAAAGAAAAGAGAAATAAAAGGGTCCATTAGTCTCGCAGCAAGGCGACGGGGTGTACGGGTCGTTGGTAGTTCGAGGACTACGGGACAAGGATCTCAGTCTAGAAAGGACGCTCGTCTTGTCATCAAGGTCGTCGGTTCCGCTGACACGACTCCGACATGCGAGCCTTTCGCCACCTACGCCGGACGAGCTTCTTGTAAATGGCCAGGTATACGCCATGAATTCTTCCTTGAATATAATCCGTATCTCCCAGTCCATTACCTCTCCACAAACATTCACTCGTTCCAACTCCAGGTAGTCCAGGTTCAAGGCTGCGGGATCTGGGATCGAGATTATCGAGTTGGGCGATGCGAATATAATTGCCAATTGCGGCATAGATACAGCATAGATACTTTGGATACGTCGACGACGACCTAAAGAATATTTAACATTTTTATAGGCGCAGCAAGTGGTTGTGCGAGTAAAGCATGGATTCCGCTATTTATTACGCTTCATTAACGCAAATGCTCACGATTGTCCCATTTTATTATCCATCCATGGACATTCACTTCAAATACTTGCTGCTGATGGCAACCCTGTACAATCGATGACAGGCACGCATGTCGTTTTATTCCCAGGTACGTTTTATTTCAATTCACGGATTATTCTATCCCATCCTTGTATTCACACAGTCTTTTTTTATTAATGCTACACACAATTGAATCTAATCAATTTTTTACTGCAATGGTTTAAATCTTATTTGTGTTGTATAAACATATTTGCATATTATGTAATTGTACATAAGTATATTTATACACGAGTTTACGTACACATATCTTTGATATACTTAAGAGAGGAAAAAGGGTGCAAACAGCGAAATTGCATCTTGATTCATTAAATTTGGAATTATTTTTCAATGGAACAGTGAGAGACAAAAAAGAAATCATCTAACGCACGTATATTATGTATATATTGCACGTGCACAAAAAATATTTATTGCGCTAGATCCTAAGATATAAACCAGGCCAATCGTTAGAGCTTTATTCTGTAATATTGTCTGATATTAAAGTCTTTTGAAAATAGAATCGAGTGAGGTGATTAAGACGTATAAAAATATAATATCCGTCCATTATATTTAATTATGCGTAAACATTTCGTAATAAAGATTGATTGCAACTAATAAATAAGACGAAGTGACGACTTAATAGCATTCGCATTTAAAAATTAGTGCAACGTATCTTTATTTATTATCAAACTTTATTTATCAACTAGAATCAAAATGATGATTTTACAAATATGATGGAAGATACTTCGGCGTCTTAAAGCAAGAAGCATCTCGTGCATGAGAGGAAGAAATGGATTTCGATCGATCTTTCACATATACTTCAACGTAACTACTCTCGCGTTTTACATATCTACTCCAAGAAAGATACCGATAATCGGATGGGGAATTCATAGGAGAGATGAGAGAGTTGTTTTAGATTCGTACGTACGAGGAAGCACTTTTCTTTAAATTGTAGATACAAGGCCTTCATTGAAATCTCGTAAACGTGCGGATTTAATTTATTCATGGTCAGTGATAAGAAGATGAATGATGAAAAAGAATGTCTCGACAATGAACATTTGGAAAAATGGATACTACGAGACATGGAATATAATATTCAATAATAGTTAGAGACCAGAACGTCTTATACTTGATTTGACTTCAACGCGATTCTGCGCTTGAAACTTTACAAAGCAACAAGGAAGAAAGGAAGAAAGCACATTGATAGTATCAGCAGGATCGACAGCGGTGGTGGCATCGGCAATAGCGAAAGAGGGAAATTCTCCCCCCTCCCCCTTTCTCTCTCTCTCTCTCTCTCTTAACGACATTAACAGGCTCGAATAACGACATGGACGGCGAGAGTGAGACGTACGAAGCATGGCAGGAAAGCTAAACGTTCGCGCAGACTCGGCCGTCTTCGTGCTCCCGCCAGGGTTCGCCGCAAAAAGAAATAAAGAAAGGAAGGTAGTGAAGCGCGCGAGCTTCGTGCAAAAATCATTAAAACGCGTGCTTGTTTCGCGACTACGGCTTACTGACGTTCCGGTCCGTGATTTATTAGCAGACGACAACGACAGGAGTACAGGAGGCAACCGTGTCGTCTGCCACTTGGACTGACTTGGACCACATCGCTAAACCGCTCGCTCGCTTGTTCGCGCGCGCGATGTGACATCTCCAAGGAAATTTTCTTCTACGTTGTCGCACCGACACATTATATCTTCCGTCTTTTACATGTACAGCCAGCACAGGCTTTGGGATGGTTTAACCAATAGCGAGACGCGCAGCATTGGCATGGAGTGGACTCGCGATAAAACTCTGGAGTTGCTACGCGAGTATCAACAACGACGTGTTCTCTGGGATTGGAATGCCCGAGGCTATCGCGACCGGGCGAAGCGCAAACGAGCTATACAAGAGCTTGCCGAGATTCTCTGCTGCAACACTCTCGAGATTGAGAAGAAGATCACTAATCTCAAGTGCCAGTATTCTCGGGAAATACACAAGATACAGAACAGTCGCGATGCTGCTACCGGTCCAGACGACGTATATGTTTCCAAGTGGTTCGCCTTCAAAGCCATGCAATTCTTACAATTTGGCACGCGTAGATACAGCAAGCGGAAGAAGGTAGAGGAATACTTATTTCCTAAAATGGCCCAAATCATTTCAAATCTCTCGAGATTTCTAACAATAACGATAAAGGAAATTCGCTCGGTATATTGTTCTTGTTGTGGCTCCTTCCTGTTAAATCATATTACGCGGGATAGCGAATAATGAAAACCTATCGAGTTTCTTCCGACTGTTGAGTAGAAATTTCAAGTATTCTTTTTGTTTCATTTTTAATAAAATACGAAAATATACCTATTATATTACTAAAATATATGATCTCGCAAATAATTTGTCTAATAAGTAATAAAACAAACGATGAAATGGAAACATAAAAGAAAGGTAAACATAAAAAAAAGGTAAACATAAAAGAAAATATTGTGTCGAGTTGACTAGCTAATTTTTTCAAGTGTAATTTTACAAGATGATTAAAATGACTGTTTAAAGATATTATCTGCATCATTAAAAAATGTGTCTTGAGAAATAATCTCGGTTATAATTGTGCTTCGTTTGTTATATATAAAAAAGATTACATCTCCTATATCCTACAGTTCTATAAGTATAGTACGTAGATATACAAGGTGTCCCGAAAGTTTTTGCCAATCGCTTTTGTGTAGATAGAGCGACTAAACTGAGTCGAAAAGTCCTCTACTATTTTGCAATTTTCGCAATAGTTAACAAGATATTAATTACTATAAAAATTGCCAAATATTAGTCTTGAATAATTTTGTATTCAAATGTTATCAACTTTATAGAAAAGCTGCAAGAGACAAAAATCATTTATTTTCTTCTTGTAAAGTTCTGAGAATTTTTTCACAATTTTTCCAGAATTTTTTAATACCATATTTTCTCATGTTGGTAAAAATAAGAAAATACTAAAAAGTTGATAAAAAATTCTGAAAAAATTCTTAGAGTTCTATAAGAAGAAAATGAATGATTTTTGTCTCTTGCAGTTTTTCTGTAAAATTGAGTAAAAAATTATTCAAGACCAATATTTGGCAATGTTTAGTAATTAATATCTTGTTAACTATTGCGAAAATTACAAAATGGTAGAGGACTTTTCGACTCAGTTTAGTCCACTCTATCTATATAAAAGCTTTCGGGACACTCTGTATAAATATCGTGATTCGCAAACAGAGGCGAATAACGACGAAATTTGGATCCCAACGAGTAGCGCGACGCGTCGCTGGTCGAGATAAGCATTTCATTGGCCCGTGGCGACGCGTGGCGATGTATGGCGATGTGTCTGCTTCTCGAAAATTCGAGTAAAGACAAAGATCCTGCATCTCAATCCATGTCCCCTCCCCCCTCCCCCGCTTTGAATAATTCGTTTGTCGTTAATTAATATCGTTGAATTTCGTTGCGTGCACGAGAGCGATGATTATACACAAGTGGGCCAATATTGACTCACTGCATAAGGTCAGATATTTTAAATAATTTTTCCACTCAGTATTAAAAAATCACTATCGTTTTTTAACGAGCACTTTTATAAATACTTTGTACAATTTACACTGCAATGGTATACTTATTATAGTAATAGTGATGCAATTTCCAAGTTTCATGAAAGAAAATCAATACGCGTGAAAGGTTCGACGCAAGCCTTTCTCGGAGATCAGAGCGTGAGATTAGGATCGAGTCGTGCGAACGTGATACGATTGAATGCTCGTAATTCATTTGTATATTAAACAAAATAATTACGAGACTGACAGAAAGAGGAAATCCTTTCTAATTCTGCTCTTACGTCAGAGCGCGGTAAAATTCCTGATCCCTTTTCGCAGAAAGTTGAAGAGGAACCGAAACTACAAGAAGAATATATTGTGAGCAACATCGATCCAGAAAGTATAACATTCATGGATAGCAACGAGGAGACAAACGGCTCTGGTACCGGTTCCTTCAACGCCTCATTCAGCGAAGATGCCGAAGAGTCCTCGTCGTCCAGTATGAAGGCAATGGAGTTATACAATGGTTCTTTGCCAAGCCAGAACGGTCTTGATGAGTCCGAACAGATGAAACTCGAGCTTCGCTCACCGGATGAGAAAGAACGAAAAAAGACCAAGGAAGAGTTCTCCAAGTTTGGCGAGAGTATTGCTGTGCAGCTCGCCGAGATCCCCGATTCTTACTCGAGATCGGTCGCTAAACTCAGGATCAACCAGATCCTCTTCGAAGCGGAGATCGGGATCTATGCGCAAACGCGTCGCTAATGAGCAAGTTCATTAGTACCAGTACGAATATCAATGTGGAATAATCAACATGGAAAACACAATTGCGATTCACATTCATGGCGCATCATCGCTCAATTTACATCGATCTCAATTTACGACGCCGATTCGTTCGAACTTTTGCTATAACAAGTTTCTAACGAGCTGTAATTCGCTTTAAACCGAGATTTTGGAATGACTATAATAGGACTGTGACAAAAGAAAGACTCGCCGCAAATAAAACAATGAAAATTATTCGACAGAAGAAACTATATTCTATCCATTATCCATCGATCGAGCATGCGTTTCGAATAGAGTGCCGCAATGAAATAAATATTCATACAGCTTCCATTTGTTTATAACGTTTAATTTTTGGACAAATAAAACAATTTAAATTATTATGACTTAGAGGATTAGAAGATACGGTAACAAGTGTGCAATATTAAAACGAATGCCAGCATGGCATGATGATCGCCGTCCGCATCTTTTTACAACCCGGATGCTTCTAAAGACTGAATCGATGATCAAGACTGTATAATAGATAATTTTTCCAAGTGATTAAACAAATTTGTTAATATCAAATACTGATTGTTTATTTTCCAAGCTAAGCAACATCAGTGTTTATTGTATTTGTATTTATTTCTACGTTCCAGAAAAACTATCAATATGAAAAATGTCGATATATTACATTTTTTCCTTGTTTATATCATTCTTATTTAAACAAATTGCATTGTTTGTTGACTAATTTAACTTTCTATCTTGATTTTTTACATGCTTTTGAACGCAGCAAAAGAAATACATGTAATCCAGCAGGATAAGAATCTCTTCCTTTTTGATAAATTGCCGGTTACAATGAGTATGAATGAATACGAGATATTTTTTTGTTTGTAATCACCATCAGAATAATATTACATACGAATGTATGTCTCTCTCTCACACACACACACACACACACACACACACACACACACAAAAGAGCGTCACTCGTTTAATTTTCTAAAGCGCAATACTAATCGTCGATAATTCGATGTAGATCAGTAAATATAGTTAGGGCCTTTGCAGAATGGCTGACTTATAATCTTAAGACAATATTTTATGACCCAAGTCTTTTGTCTTTAGTAACGCACAATAACTCTCTTGTGATTCAAGTCCAAGGTGTGATATCTCGTATGTATATGTACACACCTTTAAGATTTGAGTCACAAGACAGTTATTATGTGTTACTAAAGACAAAAGACTTAGGTCATAAGACATTGTCTTATAAGATTATAAGTCAGCCAATCTGCTAAGATCCTTTACTCTTTCTTAGCACTAAGATTTTAAGTATCTAGAATAACAGAATCGATTTAATAGCGGGATAACGATTACAAATTTGTATTAACTTGTAACACGATATATGATTTCCCTCTTCGATACAATTGTCAGTCTTACATCAATAGAGAAATGAATTATTATACTAGTGAATTAAACATACATTATAATATTTATATCGATTTACTCGTGTCGACGTTCTATTATTTAAAGTATATAAAGTCTCAGTATTCAGCGCAAAAAACATGTCCCCATTAATCTTGAAATGTTTGCCTGAAGCAAATGAAAATAAATGAACGTAGCATCTATTGGTTAATACTTTTTAAAAATTAATATTGTAGCAGAAATGTTAATAAGAAGCACAAATAAGTTAACATTTGAATATCAGTTCTAAAAAGTAGAAAGTAAAAAAGTACTAATAAGTCAAATAATCTATAATTTGAAAATATTTCATCAATATTATAAATTTAGTGATTGTTGTTTGATTGTTAGTTGATTTAAGTATTCTTCGTCCTTAGCGAAATTTTAAATATATTATAGTTAAATATATGTTGATACGATCAAGCCTTTATTTTTCTTTAAAAATAAACTTTCATAATCTCCGCAATTATTTCAATATATTTTTGGGATAAACTTTATATTATATACATATATATATATATATATATATATATATATATAATATATATATATATATATGTGTGTATGTGTGTATGTGTGTATATAAATATGTATATATATATATATGTTGAGATTTGTACATTTTTGTTCAATAAAAACTATAACTGTATGTATTAATGTTATTGTCACGATTGTAATAATGTAATTCCTTTGATTTTAACTTGTTTTAATCACTTCGTTGATAAAATTTTATAATCAATAAAATTTTATGAAAAAGTTGTCGATTATTTTTGATGAAATATTAATAAAGCTAGTTGTTCCACCTTTCGGTAAACTTTAGCTCACTGTCTTATTCTCTTATGTTCTTATTCTTTTGTTTATTCAGTAGATAAATTATCACATAGTTTATTTGAAAGAATCAACATGTGAAATAAGATGCAGAGAATTGTATAAATTATTTAATGATTTACTTAAATATTGAATTTGTTTTCAGGCGAGAGACTCGATGGTATTCTAATGGCTGAACAGGCAATTGGCAAGTACGCCTTCGATATTCAGGGTCTTCGGGAATGTCGCAATTTACATCAAGAAGCATATATTTTTTACGAAAATGCCACCTTTGATTCGTACACGATAAGGACTACAAACGATAATAACTTTGACGAACAGTCATTTAAAATCGCAGAAAATGGCCATCACTGTCATAGAATATTGAAAAATGTCATTTGTTCTTTGGATTTGAAGAATGCAAAATTATCGCAATTGGAGGAAAAAGCAGATGAAACGATCTATGTGCCTTTCGATGCAAACACTTTTTCATTTTTTACAGATGAAATGACAGACAATTCCTACAATTTTTATATATCGAGATATTATCCAGCGTACTTAAGTAAGAAAATTCGTTTATCATTTATCATTGAAAATTACTTTTAATCATTAAAAAACATTTTTATTTGCCAAAAATGAAACGGTTGCTCATCTAATGATACGATATTTTAGATTATCAAGTGCAAAAAGAGGGATAAAATTCATAAAAGTAGGAAGAATTAAAAAATATAATCATATATAGATGTCAATTGTTCAATCATATATAGATGCTAATTTGATGTCATGCATATTTAATGAAACATATTTGTTTTCTACAATATAAAGCTATAATAATATTTTTTCATTATTATATATCAAGGAAAAATTTCAGGCTTACAGAAAGGCGCGATAAGGATACCGCAGATTAATGACATGTCTTTCAAATATCCGCCATCTCCGATACTATCGCAACCAGAAAATACCTTGGAGAAATCGATTTGTTCTCTCGACAAACGCTCTAAGGAATGTGCCGATACACTGTTATTTTGCGAGTGTTTGCAATTACTCCAAGTTCCATCTCGAAAAACAATCGAAATTATATTAATAAATAAAGGTAATTACCGCGGATAAACCCAATCCTTGAGGTAGTTGATGTTTTTTTATTTTAATAAAAGAATATATAATGTGCCGTACAAAATACATGTCCGATAAATGTAAAAAATTGTATAAAATTATCAGTTTCAAAAATTATTAAAGTATATACTACTATATAGTACTAATAGTAAGTATATAGTACTAATATATATAGAAATCGTATCTTTCTCAGGTTTTGGAGGCAATGCATCCTATACGTTTCATTTACATGGTTACAATGCCAGTGTTGTTGCCCGAGAAAGTTTTGAGCAACCTCTTACCAAAGATGATATTATATCTTTGGATCTTAATGGAAAGATACATCGAAATCTTGTGAATCCAGTGCAAAAAGATACTTTTGTCGTACCGAATAAAGGATATATCATTCTTCGTTTTTACACCGATAATTTAGGTAATAATATTTTGTTAAATATTTGTCGCAGGGGGGGGGAGGAGTGCACGCGTGTGTGCGTGTATATTCTATCTATAGTTCACAGTAAATTTGATTTAACTGTGACTGCTTATCAGGATATTGGCTGTGGGAAGCGAGAAGTACTGCTATATATCCTCCATTATTCGGGTCTGGGATGCAATTCTTAATGAGAGTAGGTCTCCAGCGAAACTTGCCGCTTGTACCGATCGACTTTCCCAGTTGCGGCAATAACAAAGGCATAGATTTGATTTTTGAGAGCTGAATATCTTTAATATATATGTGTGTGTGTGTGTGTAAATATTTATATATACATATATAATAATATGTTTATGCAACAATATACATACATGGCATGAAATATAGTTAAATATTTCGAGTATTGTTGAGTCATAATAGTCATTACAGAATAATGTACTATATCCTATTTATTATGCATAGAATAATGTTACATGTCGAGTTATTATTAATTTTTATCAATCGACGCAAGTGTTTTATTATAATTATCATTTTTCTTTGCGCACGTGTCACTCTAGGTAGCAAAAAGGAGTTTATAATAAAAATTTCCAAAGTTTTGAGCCTTTATTTGTACTATCTTTAGCTCAAATCATTATGTGCTCACAGTATAAGAATAAATACTGTACATATACAGTAGGATCAAACGGCATCAGCATCCTTGTTTCTTTTTTTCGGCATTGACTGTGAATACTGGCTTATAATCACGGGGATCTTAAAACCGTCTGTATTACCGACTAAATCAACATAGTTTTTGTATATCAATTACTTTGTTTCTTTTACAGATTCGAAAATCCTTTTCCATGATTAAAGTATACGCATTAATACGTGTAAAATCGAATTTATGTCGAGAATGACAAAAAAAATTCGAATTTGAAATCTTAAGAAAATTTTTTTGTCTTTCTCAGCATAAACTCCACCTCATAAGCTGATATTCATAGTCGAATTCTTATATTTGAGGTTGTCTTAAGTGCAGTCTTAAGATGTTATAAGCCAATCAAAGGGTCATATATTAGCATTAAAACATTACTTAAGACGATCTTAAAATAAGAACCGACTATGAATACCGATCACGGACACGTATACTTTAATCCTAGATTACAGATTCGAATCAGTAAAAGAAAAAAAATTAATAAATCACGAATTTAATAATAAATTATTGAAATATTTATTAATATGGAAGTTATAGGCTCTAATTAATAAAGTCATGGCATGATTACTCGGACGAAATATTTATGTTAATGATATGTTAAATTTTTATTAATTGTTGGTAATGTCATAGTTCTTCAATTATCCTCGGGGTCATTGATAGTTGTGAAAATTTGCCCAGGATTGACAGTCTTTAATAGTACCTCATCGGTGTCTGAATCGAAATGCCGAACTTTCCTATTGGCTCTATTTCCGCCATTTTCGGTCTAGTTGTCTGTCCAATAAGCGCTTACTATTAATGGTACATATACGGTAAGTAAGTCGAAAATGGAGGACCTTTGTGCACTACTTTGGTATATATTGGGTCATCTAAAAAGTATCCGCGGTTTTTTGTCACTAGATGTGTTGATGGTCATATATCTAGTGACAAAGTACCGCGGATACTTTTTAGATGACCCAATATATATATATATATCTAGAGCTTTAATTTGCTGTATTCATTGGTCTGTTTTCTGTTCCTGCACTAGATTGTACTAGCACTCTCTTTCTCACTTTCAACAAATATCAAACATATATCTATCTTACTTCAAGTTCCAAAAGTGTGTACTAGTTCAGCTACAGAACAAGCCTCATGTCATTTGTGTTTCTTGTTGGAAACAGTTGGAAAACTCTCATTACATTTCTGCAAGAAAATCTAATTTTT